ACGTTGTTTTAAGCCCAACTGGGCATGTTGTACCATACTAAACCTTTTGTCAGGCTGTGTGCATGACTGAGACCTTGCATTAAAGGATGGGAAAGCTAGCAAGAACCTAAACTAACAATTAAAAAAATGCATTCATGCATCTGTTGCTCAGTAATTTTATGTAAATCTTCCCTGTGTAGCCAGAAACCAATTATATGAGGTTTTTATAGTTGTAGCAGTTGAGAACTTGGACAAAGGGATGGCAACATTTAGGTCAACAGATAATTTAGCTAATATAAACTGAACATTAATGATTTGGATCTCGATCCTTATCTATTTGGACATGCGACTAATGATGTTTGAGCAATGCCATTAAAGTTAGTAGGTCTGAGACTTGGTCAGAGTTTTTTGTCCCCTACATATGTTTTGGCATTTTTTACTAAGTCTCTTCTACCAAAGAACCCTGAAACAAAGCAGACAAGCATATTTTGGCTTAAATATAAATCTCAATTGAAAAGTATCATTGGAATATCCCAAAGGAGAAAGACTTCTCCTGCTTTACACCTCTTCTCTGCATCAGCTGCTATTAGTTCTTATTAAACATTTATCTGTGTTGTCACTGGGCTGCTGAGCTCATTGTTGCTTTGTAAGCATTCAGGAGAAGTAAGGCTTGGAATAGAAAGAGGGCAGTGAATTAACTTGACAGATATTTATCGGGAACCACTCCCAAACATAAGAATCAGCATGAGAGAAAGCCTGAATGTTCGGCCTTGGAAAACGCAGTGGCTGAGTGATGGTTCAGCTCCTCTTTTAGGCTGAAGGAAGGCAGACATTTTCATTAATTAACATGAAATGACACGAGACAGGGATATGCCAAAAAAAGCTGTGAAGATAATTAACACTCTCTTGGTTTTTTTTTCTGGGATGGGGACAAAGGAGAAGCAAAAAGTATAGGCTGGGGAGCTAACCCCTGCAGAAAGGTTCAGGAAGTGTTGTGCTAGTAGACAGTATTTAATTGGAACTTGGAGTCACGGCTTGTCAACTACGATGAGTTTTTAATGTCACAACCATATGCTGATGAACCTGCACACCAATAAGATGGAGCATGAGGTGAAAGAGGAGGGATCCGTACATCAGTATTGCTGCTCAGAACTGAAATAGAGTAGCTTTTAACCAGAATGTTTCTATTGCATTATTTTTTCAACCCAAGGCTCTTAAAAGGTCAGTTCCCCATGAGTGATGGTAGCCATGCTTTTGGCCTTGTTGGTCATGAGCTGAAGTAAAAAAGATAGAAGATTTTTCCATGTAGACACTTCAAAAACTGTTGCCCCAGATCTGGGTTCCTTACCCAGTGTGCAGGCCAATAACACACAGAGTGGAGGTCTTCCCAAATTTATTACATTGATGCACATGAATCACAGAATCACAGAATCACAAAATGGTTTGGATTGGAAGGAACCTTACAGCTCCCCCACTCCAACCCCCCATGGGCAGGGACACCTTCACCAGCCCAGGCTGCTCCAAGCCCCGTCCAACCTGGCCTTGGGCACTGCCAGGGAGGGGGCATCCACAGCTTCCCTGGACAACCTGGGCCAGGGCCTCGCCACCCTCACAGTCAAGAATTTCTTCCTAATATCCAGTCGAAATCTCCCCTCTTCCAGTTTAAAACCATTCCCCCTTGTTCTGTCGCTACCTGCCTTTGTAAAAAGTCCCTCCCCAGCTTTCCTGTAGGGCCCCTTCAGGTCCTGGAAGGCCGCAATAAGGTCCCCCCGCAGCCTTCTCTTCTCCAGGCTGAACAGCCCCAACTCTCTCAGCCAGTCCTTGCCGGGGAGGTGCTCCAGCCTCTGATTATCTTCATGGACCTCCTCTGGACCTGCTCCAGCAGCTCCATGTCCTCCTTATATTGAGGGCCCCAGAACTGGATGCAGTACTCCAGGTGGGGTCTCACCAGAGCCTGTCCCAAGACAGCACGCCCTTGGCTCAAAAAAACTATCCTTTCATACACACATTCAAATAATTAATACATAGTCATTGCTATTGTCTTTGTTGATTGGTTATTTCCTCACTTCCTATTTAAATTAGTGCACAGACTCCATCTACTTCCTCTACTGTTTCCTTTTGAGTAGGTGGTATTATTTGGGTAGGTGGACAATGAGTCGGTGGTTGTGGTCTCCCCTTGCCAGAATTAACTTTTACTCACTTCTCCTCTAATCTTGGCATTTCCAAGTGATTCCTCATGGCGTGCTAACCATACTAACAATTAATTTCTGTGTTTTTTTGACAAGGATCTTCTGCTTATTAACAAAGCCACATTGTCTTAATTCTAATCATAGATAAATCACAAGTAAATAATTAAATAGGACTAGGGCTTCACAAGAGGACCTTTGGCAGCAACTGATTTCTCAATTCTCGATTTCATTTTACGTTTTGCTCTTTTAATCAACACTAATTTTACAACAGAACCACAGTGGAAGAAGAAATATGTGTAATTGCTGTTCGCATTTGCAGGGCAGTTTCTGGTGCAGGAAAGCCTTGCAGGGACATACCTTGCTGCTGAGACAGCTCCTGTGTGACAGCTTGGAGATCCTGTTGGTCAAGGGCTGCAGCCAGAATCATTGTCTGAAATTTTCTGGATACAGAAGTGCCGGTGAGGAGCACTGCCCTGTTCTTCTAAAAGGTTATTCCTAAGGGGCAGAATCAGAATAGTCTTGCAGTATAACAGATGCACATTTATGGAGAAATGTCAAGGGCTAGCACTGACTCTCCTGAGGAGGCTCTAGCACTTTTACCACATCACTGCTTACAGTCGGCATCGCTGTATTTTTTAGCTCTAAAAAGTTAATGGAAAAAAGGTGTGGTAGGAGGAAAAGAGTGCAGGGAAAGTGTGAAACCTTTTCAGAAATTATTTTCTGCTAAGAAATCTAATGAGCTTTATGTGAACGACTGTAACAGCTAAGTACACCCCAAGTAGCAGGCAAGTTTTGATAGTTTTTAAAGCTCTTCAGGCACTCTTTTTTATTATGATTTATCTGTTCATGTTCCCTAACCAACTAAAAATTATGTCCAGATTTCTCCTTGCTACCCTGCTCTTCCTCTTTCCTTATTAAGAGTAGGTTTTGGGGATTTGGAAATCCGCCTCTATTCAGAAACACAGAATACTGCCTATTTTTTAAATCTCTTTAAAGTGAAGAATAAAACCAACAATTTTATTTTAATGTTTAGAGGTTTTTTTCTTAAAACTAAAAGTATTATTCAAATTTTCTAGAAATTTACCTTTGGTTTTAGCAGTGTTTGAAGGCTTTTGTTCCAGGCTTCCTGAAGTGTGTATAAGTACACATTTTTTCATTCTTATGTGTTGGAAGATTAGCTTCAATAAGATATCCCATGTACAGGAAAATATTATTGCAGTATTTTTAGAGTGCAGGTTGGTGTACGGTGCACTGCATAATTAGGCCTGTGTTAAAATATTGGGAAAATAACATGAATCTGAGATGATCCTAATGATGAAAGGGAGAAGAAATCAAAGATTTATAATGCTGGCCTGGAGATGTGTATTAACTCTACAGAAAATATATGCAGAGTGTTTCAGTGTTATAATGCTTTTCATATTATGGCTAGCCGAGAAGCATTAAGATATGTGTAGTCCTAAATCCTTCTCCTTGGATTATAAATTAGCTCAGTGCTGAAAATTTATTGGCAATGATATGCTGATAGCAGAGCTGCAGATCGCATTTGTATTTCTTGAAAAAGGAGAACTGCATCGCTTGTGAATGTTGAGCCCTGGTAACAGAACGGAGAATTTGCCGTGCTGCAGGCAGGCAACATGCAGGCTTTTGCATCCAAAATGCATTGCATGCCTGACCTGCTGATTGAAGTGCACTTCAAAACTGGAGGAATAACAATGGATTTAATTAAAAAATAAAAAAGTAGAGAGGTGCCATTTCCATTAGTAACTCTTCTCATTAGGAGTGAACTGGATACCTGTCCACAAGTGGGAATGAAGGAACTCCGGTATTGGGCTTGATGAACTTAAAGGTCTTTTCCAACCAAAACCATTCTCTGATTATATGAAACGAACTCCCAATCATCTGAGAGGTTGAGTGAAATAAAGTCTTTTTAATGCCCCAAACTTATTTCATCTACAGCATTGTATATATTCTGCAATATCAAGTGTTGCAACACTGCAATCAGCCTAAACACCTAATTATAAAAGCACTCTGGGATGAGAGAGACTTAGAGGACTGAGTATCACACTGAATTTATTCAGAAGAATGTCTCTGATAAATGTGAGTTTATACAGAAAGGCATAATAACTAATACATAATTCCAAAAAGGGTTAGAATTGTGGGTGGAAAACACTGACTTAAGTTGCAAGCATTTGTATGTGTGTATGTGTCTATTTATCTTTCATGATATTCTCACAAGTAATAAAAGCAATAAGTAGGATTATTAAGTAGACCCTCATAATGTCTCTTTCAAATATTTCATTCCAGCACATCAGTAAGATGAAAGAAATTGTCTTGCTTTGTGGATTTGTTTTGGTTTTATTTAAGCATGTGAATCTGAGGAATGATCACTTTTCAAGAGAAAATGGTGTACTAAAATACTTCAGAGCTAAATGTTATTCACTGTTTATGCTTATAAATTGTGGTTTTAAAGTCTGTTTCCAAAGCTCTGAAGTGTTTTTAGCCTCCAGCTGTCATTGACTTGGATAAATTCAGATTGGAGTTCAGATGCTAATTTATGTGACTGCTTTTGAAAACAATTAAATTTAGGTCAAATCCTGTTTCTGTAGACGCATCCATTACCTCTGCCATTAACTCTAGGACACCTTTGTTTTCACAGCCTCTGTTCCTTAACTCAAAATTAGTATTTTCTGACAGAGACACCTGCCTTCAAGTATGGTGGTACCAAATAAAGTGCTTTCTTCAAGAAGCAAGGATACTTTGCTCATGCGCTGCAAATAAAATCTGTAGAAACCTAGCATCTGGTGATACATTTACCTTTTATTATGTTTTCAGGGGAATTCTGGCCTGGGGTTCAGTATTGCTGGAGGAACAGATAACCCACACATTGGGGATGATCCCGGGATATTCATTACTAAGATTATACCAGGAGGAGCTGCAGCAGAGGATGGAAGACTCAGGTAAAAACAAACTCATTATATATGCTTGGAAACAAAATGTATCGTTATAATAAATTCTTCTTTAAGAGTCATATGCAAACTGGGTCTTTCATGAGGTCAGGGGAAGTGTATGACATAACTAGAGTTGCCTTTCTGCTAAGGCAGCAGAACTGATGTGAGTAGCTTAAAGCAACTGAATAAGGTCAGTTAAGTCCTGTATAAAGGAACATTTGCTGGTGCCACTTTTATCTTTGTACCAGTCACTTTATTTAGTATAAAAGGCAAAATGGGGACAGGAAGAGGAAACAGGTCCGTCAGCATGAAAGTCTTCTCTGCTTGGTCATTGCATGTTCATGGTAGAAGAACTGTACATTGGTGTTATACATAATCAAAATTTCCCAAACTACAGAGCCATTGCTAAATAGGTGTTGCTATTTGTAGGTGCTCCCTGTTATTTGGCTGTAGTGATGAAGTGTGCTTACTGTTTCCCAACACTTCTTGGCTCTGTGAAGATGCGATGGCAATGCTCCATATCCTGAGTCACCTCCAGAGTAGCCTATGGCTGTAGCTCCTGAGGTGGTCACGCAAGTCACTGGGAAGTTGTGGTTTTCAGATATGTGGTAGCACATCTCTTAAACACGAGGAACCACAGAACTGTTTGTGCTTCTCTCTCCTTATGGACTGAACGCAGAAAGGCTCTCTTCTATCACAGAGACTACCACCCATCTGTCGATTGTAAAGCCTGCTGATGCTCCAGAAGTGCAATTTGGTTGAAAAGACTTGGGCTAAACTTCTGAAGCTTTCATGATCCCAACACTGGAATCTAAGATCTGGGAGCCTTTGCCATAAACAGATGGTCTAAAATTAATGAAATGTATCCAGATGGTAACAATAAGGTTTTTTGCCAAAGCCTTCTCCTTTAATTCCAAGTTAAAAGTAGGGAGAGCTGGTCATTTTTTAGAGAAAGTTTTATATATTTCTTATACTAGATTAGCAATTTGATTTTGGAAATTATTCTTATTTTTGCTGCGATTGGTGATAAGGAGTCATGGTGGTTGGCAGTGCCTGAAGAACTTATGATCTAAATAAGATCATAGACAAAATGAATAGGAATAATCTCACATAACTTAATGACTAAAATCCAGCAACCTACCCCCAAATTACTCATCTTAGAGTCTCCTGGTAACCAGCGAAGAAAAACCTCAGCATTTCTAGGTTGTGATTCATCTCATCCTGAAGTCAATATCTAAAAAAAACCAGATCACTTTTTAAAAGGGCCTGCATTTTCACTGTTGACTCAAATGAAAAGGAGTTTCTTCAACTAGTTCAGCTGTAGTGGTCTGTATTGTAACTGTCTGCACTGGGCCAGGTGAGCTTCATGTAAAACAGAGCATGTGGAAACAGCAATATTTGGAAATCATGCTATCAAATTTGACATTTCTACAAATAAGAAAGGATCCCTTGCAAAATATAATAACTTTTTAGTAGAGTTTTTAATTACTTTTGAAAGCTTGTCTAGCTTAAGCCATTAAAAAGATGGAAGCCATTGCAGTATTTTTTTCCTATCTTTGTATGATACCAAGTATTTCATAACGCATTTCTATACTAATTAACTACTCTAAATTTAACTCACAACTATTTAGTAATTATTGTGTTGTAAAGGTCTTAGAAAGACCTAAACCCACAGAAGTTTGCACACTGATCCATTGATCCTTACTGAGATGAGATGCGGCGAATTTTGTGTTTTGTAATAAAAGTTTAGTAGTACAAATATAGGTATGTTATCACTAAGACTTAGATAACATTCTTATAGTATTTATTAGCACATTTTGAAGTAAAGTGTTTTAATTGATAAGCACACATTTGTCATGGTCATGTTTTCTGCTCTCATTTGTAAACAGGAGTTTACACTAAACTCCTCTCTCGTTAATACTGAATATTTGGATGCAATTAATTAGAACTGGATCTGCAGAACTTTTTTCCTTCAAAGAAAACTGCAAGTGCCTTGAAATAATTCTGTGAAACTGCCATTAGGGAAATGGATTTACTTAATCCGATGGGGTTTACACTAAGTAACAGAAAAAATAATTCTTTTAGCTGAATATGGCATGATATGAATAATGATACAGAGTATCTGGAGTTCTGCATGCTCCTTAGTGCTCAAAGGGTTTTTCCTCTGCCTCAGTTTCCCACAAGGTCTTCTAAAACTTTATAGTACATGAGAATTTGCACTGACACACCTTGCCCACTCTTACAGTCAAACACAAGGTGCATACTTACGTGATGATTTAACGGGATTTTTGTAATGATCATTGGTTTTTCGGTATTTTATAGTGAAATGGTGAAACAGATCTCACCACAATTTCCAATAAAAAATACTGTCTGGAATTGCATATAAACAAGGTTGTAGGTTTTGATGGTGAGACTTAATTTTATTTCACAATGTTTTTAACTGCTAAGTGAGTTTCACTTTGCTACAATGCTAGCAAAGACACAGTCCTGTCAAGTTTTAGGAACACCTGAAAATATAGGTATGGGTGATTGTTACTGGTATGTCACTGAATAGAAGGGCTATCCTGGTGCAGTCTCCAGTAGTTTACATGACAATTAATTTTACATAACATAGAGTTTATCAGCTAAGGCCACTTTAAAGGAACAAAAGCTCAACAACATGCAGTAACACCTGCCAAGAGTAGCGATAACCTGAGAAATGGGTTGGTATTTATGGACAGAAACACTGTATACTTTCTGGTGTCCATTTTTGCCTCAAACTCTGCCTGTAGATACTATGCATTATATAGCAGTGTGAAGTGTTTGAACTGGCTTCTAAACCTACTGTCTGTTTTTAAATCATAAAAGCCTGTAAAATCACTTTTTACTGCATTTTACATGAAGTCCCTTTGATCTAACTTAGCTGAGTGTTGTTCTTCAAATAGAGAGATGGTGAAAGCAACCTGCAAGAAATGGACTTAATGCTATAGACCCTTATAAATCTTTTATGTGTCTATATGGGTTGACAAGTGAAGGAATAGGTCAACTGAAGCTTCATGTAAGTTCAACAAAAGCAAATGCAACGTCCTGCGCCTGAGAGGGAGTAACTCTGTTGTAGTAGAGGGTAGGGCTTGGCGGGCTAGAAAACAGCTTTGTAGGGAAGCACCTGGGAGTCCCCGTGGACAATTTATAGTTATAAGTACATACATACTGGGTATAAATACCTGTTTGGTGGGAATGAAGACTCTTATCAGTGGAGCCCAGTGACAGGGCAAGAAGCAGTGGACACAAAACACGTGAAATTCCACCTGAACGTCAGGAAATACTTTTTTACTCTGAGGGTGACTGACTCTGGGCATAGGGTGCCCAGAAAAGTTGTGGAGTCTCCATCCTTGGAGATCTTCAAAACCTGACCAGACATACCATGGACAACCTGTTCTAGCTAACATTTCTTCAGAAGGGAGAGTTTGACGAGGTGATCTCAAGAGGTGCTTTCCAACATAGATGATACAGTGATTCTGTAATTTCCACCTAAGTCAGCAGTGTGCCCTGGCAGTGATGAAGGCCAGCATGGAGGTCAGCAGAGGTGCACAGGGGAAGGACCAGAGGCAACAGTCACATGTTGCAATAAGGGAAATTCAAATTGGGTCTAAGGGAAAAAAAATATCTTTTTAATTATGCTGGTAAGGCATTGTGGTTCAGTGAGGTTATGGGATCCCTGTCTCCACAGGGATTCAGTGTTCATCTGGACAGAGTCCTGAGCAGTGGGATTGAACTTTCAAGTTGGCCTTGCTTTGAGCAGGAGGTTGGACTAGATGACCTTCAGAGCTTCCTTCAAACCTAAATTGTTCACTTATTCTGTGGATTCTGTGGATATCAAACCTGTGTGTGAGACTGGGAAAAAGGGATTAAGTTCCTCGTTTTTATGTTCTTTTAGTGGAGAACAGTACATTTAGTGAGAGTAGGTACAATGCATTGTGTAGGTTTCTATTGCTTCATGGCTGTCATCGTTTAGACAGCTTTTCTGCTTTTCTGTTACCCAATAACTCCTCCTCACTCAGGAAGAGGTATCAGAAAAAGGAAAGGAGACCCATGGATTGAAATAGAAACACATTTAATAAAATAATATTTTAAAACCCAATATTGATTACAGTATCAGTATCAAGTACACAGAGTTATACTCAGGCGATATAGTGGTGGTTGCAAGATGTGATGATCACAAGTGGTGGAGTAGGCCTTGGAAATAGAATGGTGGGTGAAACCCTCCTGTGATGACAGCCATTGAGGAAAGAGGGGAAACTCCCCAGTTCTCAGAAATGCAGCTTTCCTGAATGTGATTTCATCCCAGTGAATCCAGGACAATGGCCCATGTCTCTACTTAAAAAGCAGTAAAAGTTATCAGCCACTTTAGACAACATTCATTTTAATAAAACATTCCTGGTTTTGAAAGACTTCTTGAACTTCCAAATATTATTCATAGAAGCAGAGAATTACAGAATAGCTCAAGTTGGAAGGAACCCACAAGGATCATCAAGTCCAACTCCCTACTCCTTGCAGGACTACCTAAAACCAAACCATATGACTAAGAGCATCATCCAGACAGGCTTGGTGCCATGACCACTTGCCTGGGAGCCTGTTCCAGTGACCAACCACCCTCTCACTGAATAGCCTTTTCCTAATATCCCATCTGAACTTCCCTACTTCTGTTTCCTCATATCCTACTGCTGATCACCAGAGAGAGATCAGCGCCTCCTCCTCTGCTACTCCTCTTAAGGCAGTAGTAACTACTGTATTTACATACTACCTGCCTGGAAATGCCCTGACTTCTACAACTAGCATAAGAACCAATACTCTGCACAATTCAGATTGTAGGAGACATTTAGGTAAGTACACTAACTCCTAATCTTGCAAAATACAGAAAGGTGTAGAATCTTTCATGATGTCCATATAATATATAGAAAATAATTTCATATACTGAAAATAATTTCATAGAATCATAGAATACCACGTTGGAAGGGACCACAAGGATC